AAAGAACAAACCTTATTGGAGGGAACATTATCGAAAACATGCGCCTGACCACCATAAAAGATAGTCATCTGACGACCACCGGATTCCTTCCCATGCCGACTGTCACAAAAATTAAACGAACACCGTAAAAACCCCCACAACAACAAATAAGATAAAAAGTAAATAAAAAAAAATTAACAAACTGATCCCCTAACTAACCCAGGATTAGTCGAGGACTCGGGCTCCGATATGCTCACACCAGATTTCTGTTTACCACTAGTTATGAGTACGCCAGCTGGCTGCCTCCCAGATACGGGCCCACCTGCACCAATTGGGCCCAAAATCCCAGCAGACCCTTTAATCCCAGTCCTCGAGCCTTCATCAGCAAGAGGCAGGCCCGCATTCGCCTCTTTGGCCCGATTCCCCGGGCCCTGATATCCAAAAGGCCCGACTTGACTAACACGTGGAGGATACTGCAGTGTGTGCCCAGAGTTCCAGTTGGACGTGATTGGACGCATTTGGTGCATTGCACCAAATGGTGTTTCCTCTTCACGCGGGCGTATTGTGCCCTCGCCACTTGAGTACCGAAGAAGCTTGAGGTAGAACGAAGTATTAAGAATATTAAGTTCAAAATGAGATATGAGGCAGTGAGAGACTTTGAGAAAATGGATTTTACTCACTTTGGTTAAAAGCGGGCTGTCTTGGGAGTCGGGTTGAGGCCCGTGAGGGAATTTATCTCTGGATAATGTCATGAAAGAATCGGAATTACTTCGCTTGTAGCCAGTGAACCTGTTGCAGCTTTCGGGCCCGGAGATGTCGCCTCTTGGCCCGTAATATGGTATCCCTTCTAAATGGTTACTGGTGTTCCTTTCTGCCATAATTTGTATGGTGAAAAAAACAATGAAAATGGTGTTTGTGATTTCCAAAGTGGACATCAAACAGTTGAAATCGTGGCAGCAATTAAACTAGCATTGCAGTTTGATTAATTTTCAGGTTTGCCAAGTGCTCTCACATGCTGTTAGGAAAATTACATTTCTTCATTTTGTTTTCATTTTATTTATTTTTAGGTTCAGTTGTCTTTCAACAAACATGGTACAAAATCAGCATTAATTTTGTAAACTAAAAAAACATTTGTCCTCATAAATAAAGAAACAAGGAACTAAACCACCTCTGAACTCACATGAAACAACTCCGAATTTGCCAAAATGCACCAAAGATCAAATCCACAAAAGTGGGAGTGGTGAAAAGTAAAACAACCACAACCAATGGATTTGTCACATGTATCAAAGTTACCACTGTCAATTTTCTCAGCATTCATTGTTGATTTTACTATGGTGATTTTCATCCTACAGTAATAAGCTGTTAGCCAAACAACCTATAGAACATTTTTTAACAGAAGATCTCACCCGGAAACAAGAAGTTAGCAATGCCTAGTGTAATGCTTTATCCTAACTCCAATTGAAACATTGATATACCAAAACAAAGTAAGTTCACCAATACTCAAAATACAGTAATTCCAGAAATTGGGTAAATGGACTGAAAGACATGAAGAATAAACAAAATAAGCAGAGAATAGAGACAATAGAAAGAGGCAGATAGCACAAAACACTCCACAACCCAATCCAAAAATTCTGAACAGAAAACAAAAGGGAAAGAAAAAGAAGAAAAAGGATAATGGGGGTTGCACTTTACTATTAATTTCATCCAATTACCAGAACCCAGATCGGAAATGGAGGACGGGGACACCTCCGGCGGCGGCCGGTCACCTTTGTCGGCGGCCGGAGCAGATTCCTGGCCCTTGTTGCCGAGAAAATCATGGAAAGTCGTGGGCTGCTCTTCGGTTTCACCACTGGCATTTGAGGAGTTATTTTTACCGCTGGTCGGAGCATGAGCCATGAAAATGGTCGGCGATCTTAGCTATATGCGTTGCATCACAAGTAAAGGCGACATTTTTATCATTTTTTTCATCACCAAGCTGCTGAAGCTCGGAGCTCAAGGCCAAGCATTTGTTTTAAAAGCAAAATATACCATTTGAAAAGGAAAAAATTCACCCCAAATTCAAATCAAGCGGCCATTATCCTAGGTTAGTAGCTTGGTGGGGGTTTTCAAGAAAGCTAAAAGCATAAAAATCCTGAAAAACAAAACAAAGGAGGGTAACAGTTGTGTGTGGGAGGAGCACGAATTTCAGAAAAGAGATTGAAGTAGGCAGAGAATCTCTTTTAAGATGTGGAGAGAAAGAGAGAGAGTGAGCAATAAAAAGGAAAAGGTTTTTTTTTTTTTTTCTTCTAGCGCACAGTTACAAATGTGCTTTTCTCTTTTAATAATGGTTGCAGCATCTTTTTTATTCTCTCGCTTTGCTTAATAATTGATTTTAAATTGATTTTTCCTTTTAAAAAATATTGAATCTCATCTACATATGTCGGAGTGAATAGTAATTTATACGTGATTAGTTCAATTTCTTGGACGTATATTGGTGATTCCTCATCTGATTCCCCATGAGCTACTGCTGCACTAAAGCTGCGCATGCTAGGCTCTCTCTTGTTAAAATATACCGGAGTTAAAGATCATTTCAATCTTTATTACTTAACATAGCTTTATTCTATATACTAGTACATACCACGTGACGCACGAGACAGAGATATATTAAATGATTTATTTTTACATTTTTGTTCATTTAAGTCTAAAAAATTATAAAATTATTATCTATTTTCTATTTCTTTTAATCAACGTTAAGTCTAAAAGACAATAGGATTATTATAAGTTTTTTTCCACATCTTTTAACCAGCGTCCTTTTTTTGCCAGAACATTAAATATGAGCATGTTAGAGCTAGCTTGTAAAATAATTAATATATTATCTCACTAAAACATTTATACTAATAAAAATTTAATTTTAGCATATAAATTTATCTCTTGATATAAGAAAAAGTAACATGATATGGGATATTATATGACTAAGGAATAGACCGGCCTACCGCATAGGTCGGGCAAGCTCGAAATAGAGAAAACCGCCTTGGTGGAAGGACGATCGACCAAAAGGGAAGAGATCGATCAGAATAGCAGAACTGGTCGAGGATCGACCTAATGATGGGGGGCTCGATCAGATCGAGCACACAGCAGGTGGGGAGTAGTCGAGAGCGTGGCTTGAACGCAAGAAAGCGCGTGGATGGCGTTAGAAGATCCCAACGGCCTGCACAGAAGAATAATCTCCTTCAGCTCAGAGGGACACGTGGCGAGAATACATTGGTGCAGAGCGATAGTGGCGAAAGCCTCCCCTGACATCTCTGACACACGCACACTATGTGTGTACGGACGGGCAGTACGGGTAGGACAACTCACCAAAAGTCGGGCAGCTCATAGGGCAAGTATCTCACTCCTATATATATAGGAGTGGGTCTTTTCTTGTGACTTACGATTTATCCATTCTTTACTTTTGAAAATTGAACAAACACATACTGACCCAAGCATCGGAGGCTCTTCATCGAAAAACCCCTCCGGTGTGAGAGTTCTGTGTAGGTGCGCGGCGTTCTACCGGCAAGGAAGAGGAAGGCAGACCGATTTCAAGCCGGTCGGAGTGTTTTGCGTTACCATTTGGCGCCGTCTGTGGGACTTTCGTTCGAAAAGTGGTGCGCTAAGATTTCTGAAGCTTGGTGGCTATGGCGGACGGAATTCCTAGAAGAGATTTGCAAGCATCGTTCGATGACGCGTGGACGATGACGAGGCCGTTTGGAGAAGGCCATCCCCCGGGCTTCTCTGGACCCTCGCGTACACCTGTGTCTCCGACGCCCGTTCCCCAAGGTGTAGGAGTCACGCCGGTGCAACCAGAGGCTGACGTGGGCTCAAGCCGGGCTCAGGAAGCCCGTACAGTTCAAGGAGCGGCGATTCCAACGCCGCTGCAACCAGATCTGGCCGTGACGCTGCAGCAAGGAGCGGTGGGGCAGGGAGCAGTACCGCCGTCGGTGGAGGAGCCGCGTCCCGGCCAGCAGGTGGTGATGACCAGGCAAGAGATGCAGCAGATGGTGGCGAACGCGGCGGCACAAGCGGTTCAGCAAGTCACTCAAAGCCTTTCGCGAGTGGCTGCTGGACCAACGATGGTGGATGAGGACGTGTCTAGCTATGGAGGAGATGGAGCCCTGCAAGATCGGGAAGTGGAGAGACTCGCGGAGCAGGTGAGGCAGATGCAGGCTAAGATGGATGGTCGACCTGAAAGACGTGCTCGAGGACATCCGTTCTCGAGGGATATATTGGTTGCGCCACTACCTGTGAATTTTAGAGACATGAGTTTGGTGTTCGATGGGACCACTAACCCGTCGAGGCACGTAAGGGCGTTTGAGAATTTGGCTGTTTACACGGTTATTCTGATTCTGTTAGATGCAGGGCATTCTTATCGGCCTTGAGAGGAGGCGCGCTCGATTGGTTCCAGCAGCTCCCTCATGGATCGATCAAGGACTTTGATGATTTCGCGGAGAAGCTGATGACCCAATACGCGAGTGCTGTGGCACAGAAGAAAACGTATTTGACGCTGATGGCCATGAGGCAGGGGGAGAAAGAGTCGTTGCGCAAGTATGTTGCGCGATATAATCAAACTTGTTTGGAGATCCCCACGGCTGCGGACGAGGTGAAGGTTGGAGGGTTGATAAGGAGTTTGCCAGCAGGGCCCTGTCGAACATCTTTAGCCAAAATTCCTGCTCGTACGTATGACGACGTTTTGAAGAGGTGCAAGAAGTATATTAACCTGAAGGAGACGGAGGCGGAGTTTGCTAAGTTGGAGGAATTAGCTAAGCCGGAGCCGAAGAAAGGAAGGGCGAACTCGCCCCGAAGGGTGTCACCGGGGAGGAGATCGCCCAAGAGAGAGGGACGTGGCAGGAGTGACCGTGGGCGAGAGGACAGGTGGAAGGATCGACCAGTGTTTGGGGGGAAACGGTTCCATAATTTTACGCCCCTGAATGCAAAAATGGGAGAAGTGCTGGTGGCTATCGAGAAGAAGATCGAGGACAAGGACGTGACGTGGCCGAAACCGAGGTGTGAAGGGCCGACGCAACCCAGGTCGAGGAAGTATTGTCGTTTTCATAAAGATTATGGGCATACGACGGAGAAGTGCAGGCACCTCAAGGATGAGATCGAACGCCTTATTAGGGCAGGGCATCTCAAGGAGTTTGTATATGAGGATAAGGCAAAGGGGAAGGATAAAGGAAAGTGTCGAGAAGATTCGGTGGAGCGGAGTGATCGAGACGATGATGATGAGGAAGACGAGCCGCGAGGTGATAGAGGTGATCGAGGAGGCAAAAGAAGGCGAGGGAGTAGAGATCGAGGAGGATAGGAGGATCAGGGCCCCGTGAAGAGGGGGACGATATATATGATTTCGGGAGGCCCTACTGATGGGGACTCGAACAATGCGAGGAAGGGCCATGTTCGAGCGATGAAGAGAAAGAGAGAGGAGGTGGGGATTACTGCTCGGATGCCGGAGATAAGTTTTCGAGCAGAGGATGCAGAGGGGGTGGTGTTGCCCCACAACGATGCGTTGGTGATAAGCGGAGGTGGCAGGCTTTGATGTAAAGAGGGTGTTCATTGATACGGGAAGCTCGGTGGATGTAATGTTTTATGATTGTTTTGTGCAGATAAACAAAGAACTCAACCTCGAGCTGAAACCGGTGACCACAGCCTTGTATGGATTTAATGGAGGCGAGGTGATGCCGATGGGAGAGGTGAGCCTATTTGTCGCCTTAGGGCACGGGGCGACAAGGAAGGTGAGAATGGTGAGGTTTGTGGTCGTTGGAGCGGAGTCATCATACAACATCATAATGGGAAGGACCAGTTTGAATGCATTCCAGGCAGTCGTGTCGACGTACCATATGACGATTAAATATCCAGTGGGCGAAAACGTTGGTGAGGTCGCAGGAGATCAGCTTACCTCGAGGAGTTGTTATCAAACCACGGTGAGCAACAATAGACAACTCTCGAGAAAGCAGGTGAAGCTCGAAGAGGGGATGTTGAATCGACCAGGGGGTTCGAGGTCGAGGGAGGAAAGAGAGAAGGTGGATAAAGGGAAGGAGAGAGTAGAGATGTTGCCCGGTGGGGAGATCGAGGAGATCCAGATGGTGGAAGGATGTGAGGAGAGGAAGTTTCGAATAGGAAAAGAGATCGACGAGCCCCTAAGGTCAAGACTGATCGAGCTGATCAGGGAGTTCGCAGATGTTTTTGCATATACGGCTGAAGAGTTAACGGGGATAAAGGCATAAGTGATCGAACATCGTTTGAATATTGATCTGACGGTGAGGCCGGTGAAGCAGAAGAGGAGACACCATAGTGCAGAAATGGACAAGGTGATCGAGCAGGAGGTTGAGAAGTTTATTAAAGGCGGGTCATGTTAAGGAGATCCAGTTCCCTGAATGGTTGTCGAATACAGTGATGGTATCTAAGTCCGGAGGAAAGTCGAAGATGTGCATTGATTTTCGCGACTTAAACAAGGCATGCCCGAAAGATTTATATCCATTGCCCAGGATCGACCAGCTGGTCGATTCTACCGCGGGGTGTGAGTTGCTCAGTCTTATGGATGCATCCCAGGGGTACCACCAGATCCCCTTGGCTCGAGAAGATAGGAAGAGGGTGAGTTTTGTTATGAGTAGGGGCACTTACTGTTACGTGGTGATGCCTTTTGGATTGAAGAATGCGGGTGCGACGTATCAAAGGTTGGTCGATAAAATTTTCAAGGAGCAGTTGGGGAGGAATATGGAGGTGTATGTTGATGATATGTTGGTGAAGAGTAAGGTGGAGGCCGATCATGTGAGTGACTTAAGAGAGACGTTCTTAACTTTGCGGAGCTATGGCATGAAACTGAATCCCGCTAAGTGTTCTTTTGGAGTGAAGTCAGGAAAGTTTCTGGGATATATGGTGACAAAGAGGGGGATTGAGGTCAACCCGGAGAAGGTGAGGGCGGTGATCGAGATGAAACCGCCCACAAAGGTAAAGGAGGTGCAGATCCTAACGGGCAGGATCGCGGGCCTAAGCCGTTTCATATCGAAGGTGGTGGAGAAGAGCGGTCCTCTGTTCCGAACGTTGAGAAAGAGCTCGAAATTCCAATGGACAGAGGAGGCCCAGAGGTCATTCGAGCAGTTGCAGAAGGTGTTGGCAAATCTGCCTCTATTGGCTAAGTCGATTCCTGGGGAGGATCTAGTGCTATATATATCAATTGGGGAAGCGGCGGTGAGTTCAGTCTTGTTAAGGGAAGAGGCACGGTGCAATTCCTAATTTATTACGTAAGCAAGGTAATGCAGGGTGCGGAGATGAGATATTCGGAGATCGAGAAGTGT